TGATATCATATGGTATTTTTCTTTCTCTTTCTGGCTTACTTCACTTAGAATGACATTCTCCAGGGCCATCCATGTTGCTGCAAATGGCATTATGTTGTCATTTTTATGGCTAAATAGTATTCCATTGTATAAATATACCACATCTTCTTTATTCAGTCATTTGTCAATGGGCATTTAGGCTGGTTCCATGTCTTGGCTATCGTAAATAGTGCTGCTATGAACATTGGGGTGCAGGTGTCTTTTTGAATTAGAGTTTCCTCTGGATATATGCCCAAGAGTGGGATCAGATGGTGAGAAACCAAGATTTCAGAATGTCCAGATCTTTGAAAATTCTCTAACTTTGTGATTTAAGTGGTGTTACACATCCTCTCATTTCTAGCTCAAGTGCTGCTTCCCAACATGGCTAGGTTCAATTATTACAAACTCTCACTCCAAATTCTATTCATCACAGAGTGAATTTACACCTAAATTTTATCATTGTTTGTGGCTATATGTGTTAACCTTTAAGCCATGAAATTTATGACAGACTGAACTGTGTTGACTGAGCTCTACCTTTTCTCTCTGAATCTAACTTGTTCCTTTCAGCGAAAATAAGTTAAATACACAATCAGCTTAAGGCTGGAATCCAGGCCTTAGGACGGTGGATTTACTGCCTGGACCAAACTAGATGCATTTTGCACAAAAATCATTTTTCTATCTAAAGGCATTCTTTTTTTTTTTTTTTGGCCTGGTGACCTCTTATTGACTTCAAAGTACTTTCCAGCATTTCTTCTGGTTGGAATATATGGGAATAGGTTCAGCATAATTACATCCACCTGAGAAACGATAGCCAGCAAGTGCACATAACTTTGCCAGGCACATGGTTAAATAACACTCTCACTCTTGGATCAATTATCTGTTCTCCAAGATGGAGCCTCACAAGTACTGTTGAAAAATAACCCTAGAATTAGCATTAGGAGTGGATTTTTACAATCTGGAAAACTTAGATTGCTTCTCTGTTAAGATGCTTACCTTGAATTTGTGTCCAGTTATGGCTTCTTAGAAAGTGTAAAGGATTCAAAACTCCTTCTGCCCATTGATTCTGATTCTACAGCTCAAAATGGAAAAGTAAACAGGTTCAGTAGGAAAAGAAAGATAGTTGAGAAGGTCTTGATAGGCTGTCCCTCCTCAGCCTGGCAAGTAAGCGGGGCTGGAATCTCCCTAATTCCCCAATGTCTTGAGGTTCCGTGCAGAGTGGCCGGTCACCCCGAGCATTGCTGCTTCGTGACTTAGCCCCACCAGATTCTCATTAAGAGCTAAGCTGTCCAAGTGTAGTGTCCTGGAGGAATCTTCCCCCAAGGGTACAATTAGAAGTTTTCAAAACTATCTCCTGGCTAAATACTCTGAATGTTTTTGGTTTGTTTACCTGGTCAACACCACTATCATTTCCCCTGAGGTCCAACTCAGAATTTTCTTTGACTTTTAATCATTAATCTCATACAACCCATTAGACAGATTATTGATTTCTCCTTTCTTTCCATTCCTAGGACCCACACTCTAGACCTATTTCTTCTAGAATTATCTCCTTTGTTCTTTTTTATCTTCTTAGATAAATTCTCCTTTTTCTTCAAGGTCAAATTTAAGTCTTGCTTCCTCAGTGAATTCTTCCTTTATTTCCACAATGAATATCGACATATTTTTTTCTTAGTTAATTATGGTGTCCCTCTTTCTTGGCTGCCTTATATTATAGT